TGTAGCAAAGAAGCCTCTTCTGCTTGAGACCTTGGCAGGGGTTCATTCCGGCGCTTTTCTTCAGAAAGAGGAGAACTTCGGAGAACCCCACCCGTACCTTAAGGATCCTATAAGAATCCTGTCATGAGGGTCTTTATTTTGAGGTTTGGGCAATGAGTTCCCCCGTGTGATGGAGGGCCTGGCCTTCCTGGCCTGACCCTCCTTGAATTCAGCACTTCTGGTTTTGTTTCTTATGGGCTCTCGACACGCTGAGTTGCCTCCACTTTTTGAGGCTGCCTCTCGGGCACGGAAGAGCGCAGCCACTACGCTGGCCTGCTCGGCAGCAAGCCATTCGCGAGGCCATCCCTTCTTTGAGTTTGCCCAGTGTGTCGTGGCTGCGTAACAACAGGACTACGGGGTCCCTGGCTGCCTTCGGAGCGCCAAAACAAACCGGCTGGGCATCGGCATAGCCAAACGGCACAACTATGATGTGAACGCCGTAACGTTTGGCAGCGGCCGTGAGGGAAAGACCGTCTATCCATCTTTTGTCTCTTAGGCCTGCCTCCAAGAATCCCTCCCAAGTTCTAGGGATCTCGCCAGCCTCCATTTCAACCGTGGTCAAACCACTGTTTGTACTCAGTGGCATGCTTGCTCATGCGCTTGAACAGGTCACGCCTCACTGTTTTGGCCTTAGCTTGCAAGTCGTTTTTCATCTTTTCTAGGGTAAGCGCAGCCTCTAGGCAGGCATAACCACAGTTTCCGCCTCCTCCAGTATCAACCTCCTCCCAAGGATCGGTAGTGGCAAGTACCTCCTTCCGATTGCAGGGTGATCTATCACGATCCTTCTCATCCTTGGCCGTTTGGGACTCACTGTCGGGTTTCTGGGCCTCCGATGAAGCCTTGGGTTCGGGGGGCCCTGCAACAGGCTCACCATTGGATCCCAAGACTCGTTTGGGTGGCTTGATCACCGACACAACTTCACTAGCCCTGGCCATCTTTTTTTCTGACCAGACTTAAGAGAAGCACGCCTGAATCCACACTAGCATCCTGAATGGCTACCACACCAATGTGGTCAGCCTCCGGCACAATGGCCTTGACTAGCCAACTACGACGCTTTCTGCCTGGGGGCTTTAGGACGGTGACATCTTTACAACCGGCCTTCACAGACAATCAAGCGCGTCCTGCGCATACCACGCCTTGGGCGCGGCCAGAGCCCACGCATGGATTTTTGTCAGGCGCCAGGCTGAGTCCAAGAAAGGCTCCTCCTCCTACCCTGAAGGCGAGGGAGACTTTTTCCTTGACCGCTTCAGCACAGGCCCTGCCATAGTACTCAGCCAGCTTTTCACCCTTGTATGTGGCGGGATCCACCAGACAGGTTGTTTGGCTTTGCCTGCCCCTCCCACTTTTTGGAAAAACATGCCTTGCTGGCCGTCGCGGTCAGCGATGATGCTTTCATGCTTCGAGGCCATCCGGACGAGTTCTTGCAGCAAGATCTCGTCCGGGCTATCTCTGTCGCCAGAGATTCTCACTTCTCTCCACCCGTAGGATGAATGCACTTTGTCCACCATAAGCTTTCTCATCATGGCTTGGGGATTTCTTTTCATTGTCTCCCAGGCATCCTTTGACAGGATGGCTTTGGCAACAGTGACACGGAAAGCCACTAACTCGCCTGATCGCAGGCCGTGGTAACTTTCATCGGCTGCTTTGGCATCTGCGCCAACGACACAATCAAAGGAAAGACCCAAAACTGTCGCATTGCCGGCTTGTTGGCTTCCCAAGTCGGCAAGTAGAAAGCAGTCGCCCCTTCAGGCAGGTCTTTTTGCAGCTGATTTGAGATCCCAACAGGAGCATCCTTTACCGCACGCAGCTTTGCAAGTCTTCTGGCGCGTGCATCGAGGCTAGGGCACGTAACCAGAACGGCCTTTGGAGCGGCTCCTTTTTCAAGGGTCTCTCTGGCGCTCCGGTGGGTGATCCTATCACATTGCTTCCAAGCACGGGCTAGAAGCTCCACTTTTGCAGGCAGCTTGGGCGCTGTACGTTCTCCGGCTTTGGCCTGTTTACCTTTTGCCTTTCTTTTTTTTGTTTGTGGCACGTTCGGCTGGAGGGTTAGGGCTAGGGGCACACGGGGTAGGGGCAGCAGGACTACCCTTTCCCTTAACCTTACCCGTGCACACTACCTCTCTCCACTCGCTTGTGCTCGCCTCAGTTGGCACACAGTCCCCGGCATTGTTTTTTGCTTTCTTAGTCGGGGGTTCCTTCACAGGGGAGGCTGGCATCCCCCTTTCTCCATCCTTGTCTTTCTTCTTTCCCTGTTCACGCAGAACCTGGCCACTTCTCGCAGTTTGCACCAGGCGGCGGGTCAGCAGCGTGCCCGGCTGGCGCTTGGATCTCTCATTGATCCTTTGCAGCGCGGTCAAAAACCTCTTCTCACTTTGATTTATTTCAGCTTGAAAGGCTTGAGCACTGTATTTAGCCCAACTGGCCTCACACAGTGTTCATGGTCCGTTGCCTCACAACCTTGCAATAGTTGACGCAACCGGGCATCAGCAGCCCTTTGCGGGGCCAGAAACGGCAGGACACGCTTATGGGGCCCCATCCTTTATCTGGCTGTATGGCGATGTCTCCAGCGCTTGCGTGGCCAGCTAAATCTTCTGTTCCGCACTTTTCTGCAAGCACCGGGGCTACGCACTGGCTTCGCTAGCCAGGTTAGCAAAATTTGCACTGCATCCACAAAACAAAAACATCTCTGGAGCACACTGCCCAAAAGGATGATCATGCTCACCATCCTACTTGCAAGGCCCCCCCCCATCACCGAATCCCATTCAGGCAGAGCTTGTGCGTAGTGGGTCAAACCACTCCCGTGCAACACAAACTGTTGATGCACACTTGACTTTTCAGGCTCACTTTGGAATGCATTTGCACCCTGGAAGGTGCAACACAGCACACACATGCATATAAGGCACCTGGGCACCTTGAATCTCCTTGGCTTTGCCTTCGTCTTCGAGCATGAAGAAGTCCCCATCCGTCACGGGGAGGAGCAAAGGATTAGTGAAATTAGACAAATCTCATTCATTTTTGGGTACTGTAAAAATAGTGAGATCAGAGAGATTAGAAATTAATCTTTCTAATCTCAGTAGTCTGACTAATTTCAGACATTCCCAGGTCCCCAGGCTCCCCCAATCTCACTAATCTCACGAATCTCATTCATGTTACGGGTATCTAAAATTAGTGACACTAGTGGATTGGGGGGCCTCGGGGGACCTGGGAATCTCTAGAATTAATTTCTAATCTCACTAATCTCACTAATTCTAGAGTACCCAGAAATGAGTGAGATTAGTGAAATGAGATATTAATCTCACTTGTTTTAGAGATTCCCAGGTCCCCAGGCCCCCCATCTCACTAATCTCACAAGTTTTCTAAATTTAGCGAGATTAGTGAGATTAAAAAAGCTAATCTCTGTAGTCTCACTAATTTCAGAGATTCCGCGGTCCCCAGCAACGGGGTCTCCAGGCCTCTCAATTTTTCTGAGAGAAAACATGAAGTCCCAAATAGACCCTAAAGGTCCTACATACATATCACCCCTATGTTACCCTATCTAATGTAGTAGTTTTCATCTTCTTTTTCCATTATCCCCGAACTCTGCGAGCCATGCGTTACCACCCCAAACTACCATATCAACTAGGGTTCTACAAAGGTAATGTAGGGTTTATAGGGGTTATATAAGGATAATGGAAAAGACAAAAACTACTATGATGGGTTCCAAAGAACCCTAACACCCGCCAAACCCTGAAACCCTGAGACCCTCAAAACCATTTAAGTCCTGAATCCTGAGGACCCTGAAACCCCTAAACCGTAGACACCCTGAGACCTAAACACTATCACATGAAAGTGTAACTGTATGTCTGGACAAACTGCAGGTTGCAGAGGTATGTATGCATTGAAAGCGCAACGTACTGTCTCTTTACCATGCCATTCTTTGGCGAATCGATGGCTCTGCAGTTCGTGAGTGATTCGCTGATTGTAGCCACCCAGGTACTAAACTTAGCTCGACAGGACCGAGCATGGCAGGGTGCCCGCCGTTTTCCCTTGCTACTTTGCGTGCGCTATGGTGTGGCTCACGGTGCTGTGGGAAACCATCTTTTCTGTCGAGCCGGCTATATGCATGTTCTCGTTGGCGGTTGGGGGGCAGCCTATGTTACATTCTAGGGAGGACGGCATGATTTTTTCAGGCTGGTTGCCTTTCTCGTTCAGCTATGGTGAACTTGGAACTCTAGTAAGAATTTCCAATTTTGGCTGTTCCTTAGGATTATTATAAGCAAAAAGTAAAAATCATTTCCAAGTACCCCTAAGTCAGGGCAACGGGACCTCTCCAACATGGCATATGGCAGCGTGACATCCACCTTATGACATCCTTATGACTCTCTCCAGTTGCCCGCTATTGGTTTTCATGCTGGAAGCGCCGCCTGCTTTAGTATGTCGAGTGATGGCGCATTGAAGCGCTCCTTTTGCATAGTTTTTTCCGCGTTCTCCTCATCGAAAGCCACCTCCTGACCCCTTGCTGCGACGTGAGGCCTCCGGCGAGGCGGGCCGGGACGCTGCCATTTCTACTGACGTTGTGGATGCCTTACCGATGTGTCCACTGCCGAGGTTTATGTTGTCAATTCATTCCCATCTATGTTGACAATCGCATAGCATGTGCGGTTACCAAATCAACGTGCTCACGTGGGCGTTCTTCCTTTCCTACCACCTCTTCTGAAAGCCTAAGTTGCAACTTTTGAGGGTGTCTCTCTCTAAAGATGCACGGATGACACTGAACCCCAACCAGCCCACGTCAGAGCTGAGCCTTTGGTTTGTCTTCTGCTCACTCTGTCAGAAGCTCTGACCTTTTGATCTCGCAGTCTCTTCTGACAAATCAGCTTACCCCCGAGAGGCTGCTGCTGATGGGACTCTTGAAGCAGACCCTTCGCAGAGGAAAAAGAAAGCTTACTCGACTTGACACTTCCAATGGCTGCCAGCGTGGCCACTCCAGACTTTTGTCAGTGTCCACGCGTTTGCCTCTCACGATGTCAACAATCCCATGTAAGCATCAGCAGCAACCTGCAACGGTAAGATCGGTGCTGAGCCGCTCTACCTCAGCCACCGAGCCCTGCACCTTCAAATCATTCTGATGCAAGTCATCGAAAATGCGACAGCCCTCATGCCTGCTCCACAAGCTTCGTGAGGTGATGCTCACCAGCATGTGCGCGGCGGAGGCTCTCTGCCTGACCGCTTGTGACAACCCGGTCTGAGCTCCCTGCTTACCAAGTCCTTGCCATTCCTTGCCTCAACATCAGACTGCTGCTTAAGAATGGCAACCGACCGTTCGTGCTTGCGCTTCTGCTCCTTGACAGGGCTTGACAGCACTGCTCACCAAACCCTTGACAGCACTTGCTGCCGCTCCTCTATTTCCAGCCGACAATCAGACTTCACCTGCTGCAGAGTAGTTGAATCACTCGAACTGTGCGAGCCCTGTGTTCGATATCGACACAAAAGTAAAAGAGCAAGTTCGGGTGCGCAAGCATCTCTCATGATGCAGGCCTTGTCGATCTCCGCCTGTGCCTGCGCAGTTAGCTGAGCAAAAGTGCACACTTTGACTCGCATCCTGCTTTAGTGCTGCAGTCGCCACTGGCTGATCCACTGCTTGTTGACATGGTAACGCCTTGCGTCTTTCTTCACGCTTTGCGTCCTCAACCTCGGTTGTATGGCCTCGGTGTGGCGGGAAGTCAGAAACTCACTCCACAGCATACTCACTATCCCGCACCTTGAACAACCAAGCGCTTCTGCTCCTGGAAGTGCCGCATCTCGCTTGCGTGAACTTCCTGCAGCCGCTAGCTGGAAAGCTTTGAGAAAAGTATCAACTGCAGTAAGAAACTGCTGTGCCCCGTTCCTTGCATCGATCTAGCTCAGCTTCAAGGTAGCGGCACTGCAGCTCCATGCCTCGTCGGTTGCAGTTTTCAAGCCGAGAGAAGTATTCAAACCGAAATCGAAAACTGAGGGTCCCGACGTGCATGCCCGGCATCCTCCTGGCGCTTTGCATCCTCAAAGCGACGCTGCCAGCGCTGCTCGCAGTCCTGGTAACATGGACATTCACCAGCACTCAGCCATGCATGCTAGCACACGTGGCCTCTAGTTGCAACTCCAGGTGCTTGACCTTCGGAAATGAAAATGATAGCGAACCACCAACTTTTTGATGCCATCGGCCAAGGCTCCTCGCCTTGGCCTTAGCCTGCGCCAACTGCAGCAGCCTAAGCCGAACGTTGATCAATGACTTCAACAGATCAGACACCTTTCGTTGAACAATTCGTGCAGTCAATGCTTCTTCTCCTAGGAATGCAGCGAAACCATTGCGAGAAGTCGCTCGTGTACAGTATTCATGCCAGTACGGAGCAGCAAAGGAATTACGAAGAAGCAGTTAAGCAAGTGCCAACATAGAATCATTAAGAGATTGATTACCAAACATGAAACCAGAATCGTCTGAGCCCTGCGACCTAGTCAGAGCCCGTGGGGTGGCATGTATTACCATCCCCAGTCCATCCGGTAGCCATCCGTGTATGGTAGAGCAAGTCCGCGGGTCCGAACGTGCATGTTTTCTCCTGGAACAGAAACTCAGAGCCTTGTGAGCTGGCCAAGACGGCCCAAATTCTCTGGACCAGCTGGACCCCGCAGGCCACCCAGATCGAGGAACGTAAGACAAAAAATGACTTGTTGGAGATCTCATCTTCAAAGCCTTGCTGAGAAACATCAATCACAGGGCACCCGACAAGTCGTGCGAAGGCGCACTGCCCAGGGGTGGATAGGCTGGGAAGCTGGGGCCTCCAATGGCCTGGCACAGCTTTACCGCTTGACTTTAGCCCAAGGCTGAGAATAGACAGCACATCAACCTCTGAGTTCACGACTGTCGGATCGACGGCGAAGGATAGATCCTTCTCTGAGGATGGTGTGCTGCCGCCACCCCCAGGCGTTGCTCCATCGGCCCTGGCTTCGGCAAAGTTTCATTGGAAAAAGCCGCAACATGCTGGCAAGACCCTTGCAACGGAGGCTGCAGAAGCACCGGTGCCGACGGTGCCCGTCTAATGTGAACCTGTCAGCTTGCTGCCATACTGCGGAAAGCATTGCAAGGGACATGCCAACGTGCCACAGGCCTGGCTTTCAGCTGTCGTGCCAGTGAAGGGTATCCTGTCCGGCCTAGCCGCCAGCGGAATACATACGAGCAGAGTTGGAATAGCATGGGCTCTGGGCTGAGCTGTTGCTTCGGCCCGCGGCACCTGGGTCTAAGCTTCTGCAAATGGCACTGAGTTTGCGATCTTTTGGCATGCCCAGCTGAGCTCTAGGCGGGGCGGGATTGTGTGGAACCAGGAGCACCCTGATACGATGCGTGTGTGCTAGAACTCAGTCGTCAGCTTCATTCAGCAAGTGAGACTGGAAGCAAGAGAAGAAACACAGCATGCTCCTTGCCAAGCCCGTTTCTTCCATCTGCACGTTACCCGCAAATGATGCAGAGTCCGAGTACCCCCCAGCTTTCTGGCCTGGAAATTGGCACCGCCTGAGGCAGGAACCTGCCCATGCTTTTTGGGATGCAATCTTTCTCTTGGCCGACACATGGGCCGCAATCTACACTCCAAAGTGTCCCCCTTTGTGGCCCTGGGGTACTCCCCTAAAAAATCCCCTATACAACCCCCTGTAGGATTGTAGACGAAGCCCGCTTAGTTGTAACTTTTTTTGTTGCTTACTTGTAGCTTTAGGGTTTTGAACTGGATTTAGCTAGTTGTAACTTTTTGGTTGCTTACTTGTAGCCTTTTTCGTGCCGTTTGCCCACGAGGGATGCCAAAACCCTTGCTTGCCTGTAACTTTTTTTCCGGCCTCAAACTGCGAATGCTGTGAAATTACAGCATTTGCGGTCTGTTAAGAGCTTCAAGCTTTGCAAATTACAGCCTACTCAGGGTCTAGGGCTGAAGACATATATGAAACACCCCTCACCCCCAATATTGTAGTTCCCCTCAAGTAGATAGATTATGGCTTTGGGTATATTATAATAAGATCCCCGCATACCGGGACTGTATATTCTCACCTAGGAAACGCCCTCTTAAGAGGGTTGCCCTGCTTGCGGCGCACCATCAACGTGTCATGCTGAAATCAAGCCCTATATACCCCATATTCTATCTACTTAAGGGGGACTGTATATTCTCACCTAGGAAATGCCCTCTTAGTTTCGGGGGGGTCTTAAGTACTGCAAGATTTCCTGCATGCATCGCAACCTCCAGAAGCCAGAGGGTTGTTCGTAGGGTTTAGGGTTTTTAGGGATTAGAGTTTTTAGACACGCGCATCAGGGTTTCAGGGTTAAGGTTTTGGCGTTTAGGGTTTTTAGGGTTTAGGGTTTTAGGGTTAAGGGTTTTGGGGTTTAGGGTTTTTAGGTTTAGGGTTTTTAGGGTTCAGGGTTTTTAGGGTTTAGGTGGTTCTTTTTGGGTTGAATTTTTTTAGGGTTTAAGGTTTTTAGGGTTTAGGGATTTTAGGGTTTAGGGTTGTTTAGGGTTTTCAGGGTTTTTAGGGTTTAGGGTTGTTTCGGGTTTTTAGGGTTTAGGGGTTT